GACTGCAAAAGTTGAGAATCTGAAATTTTGGGATGATCTCCTTTACAAACGCACGACCTCGAAAATTTGGATTCAGTTTTCACGCACCCCTGCGTACCATGCACAGCCCCGTAAAAGTTTTGATAAAGAAATTATTATCTCGTTTGCGTGAAATTTTTAGTGGGAAATTCCGCGACTTAAAAATCAGACTATTTTTGCACAGACTAAAGTGTGAAGTAATGAAAATCATTAGTAGGCAATCTTTCGGTGAACGGAATTGCACAAAACGCATGATCGCCCCGGATGCCCTGGTGCGCGTCGCTATTTATTTCGTTTCGTTAAGATGGTGCAAAAGTGCACGCACACGCAGTGACATATCTGGGGTGTCATACACAGAAGTTTGTTGCCACGACGTGTTTTATTTAGCGTCTCTCTGAGCGGTTTTGCATTGCAGTGCCTTTTCCACGTGAGCTGACGGTGGAGAAGAAGATGAGTCGTAGCTGTGTTATCAGCTGGTCTGTGCCGGACGATTCACTGACACCCGTCTCGCAGTACCATGTATGCGTGGATGGTATCGTGCGCACTGTTGTTCCGGGATCTTTCAAATGCAAAGCGTTGATCGAAGACATTGATTTGTCCAAGCCAGTCAATGTTTCCGTGCGAGCGGTCACTGAGAATGGACATAGCCCGGATGCCGCTTGTACTGTTTCACTCGGAAGAGGTTCTATTCATTACTCGAAAAAATAATAATTGGCGAACGCACGGGCTACCCGTGCGAAGATGCGTTTTTTGCATAGTTCCCCGCAGTTTTTGTTACTACCGGCACCGGCTTTTTTGGCAAATGCTTCTAGCTAAACAAATTAAGACTGGCCATCAGAACTGCTAGGAAACACCGCCTTAAATTTTCAGCTTTCTAGCTTCCCTGGCTACTGAGTTAGCAACTTACTGGAAAAAAATTTTTATGGCCCCGTGCATGTTTGCCATGCATACCGGAGAGATGGGTTTGAGATGAATGAAAGTTAGGTGGACGGGATATATCCTCTTAAAATTCCAGTTCTTCAGCTTCTCAGGTACTCGAGTTATCAACTTACCCGAAAAAAATTTTGGCGGTCCTGTATACGGGTGCCACTCTTATTCAGGGG